CCTTTCCTTCAGGAAATCACAGCAGTTCAGAAATGAATGGTTTTGATTTTAGGGGCATAATGCCCCTAAATGCAAACTTGAGGGAATGGCCACTAGTTGAGCCAGAAGAGGTTCAGGTTGGATATTAGGAACAGTTTCTGCTCTGAAAAAGTGGCCAGGCACTGGCATGGGCTGCCCAGGGAGATGGTGGGGTGGAAACACTTCCCCACATGGGAAGTGTTTCAGAAATGTTTAGATGTTGTACTGAAGGACGTAGTTTAGCGGGCAAATGCTGGTGGTAAGTGGATGGTTGGACTGGATGATCTTGGAAGTCTTTTCCAACCTTGGTGATTCTGTGATTCTATCTTTGAAAAAGTCTCCAAAGAGATGAAAGAAAGAGTCAGTGTGATTCTACTACAGAATAAGGCAGTAATAAAAACACAGTCATATTTTTGCCAAATTGAAGCCAGTGCCCTCTTGTACTGTGTACTGTCCAGCTGCATTTGCTAAACATAAGCTCATTGTGGTTAAAAAGATCCTGGTTTAAAATCTTTGCTCGATGTGTTCATCTCAGAAGGACGTATTACCTTCAAGATGAAGATAATTTGTTTCAGAAAATGGAGCAGAGCGTTGAGTGCTCTGATGGCTTCATTGCTTTTCACATCAGATCTGCCCCCTGAAACACAAGCACTTCCTATACGGCGTTAATGCCCTGTGTCAGCACATCTGATGGCACTTATGTGCATTTCTACCTGAGTACATTTGCATTTCAAGAACTTTGTGGAATTACCAGGTAAGTGAAGAAGGTGACAAAGACAGAACGGATGCCATCTCCTTCATTTTATTTTTTTTCTTAACAGAGGGGCTCTTCCCTTCTTTTTTAAACACTCGTTTATAGCCTTTGCAGTGTGCCAGTATTAAAAAAAAAAAGAAAGAGGAACACTTACACAATAAACCCGTCGCCCATCCTGTCGTTTTTCCACATCCCCATTGTAATTATTTGAAATCCTTGTGCTTGAAGAGGAGTTTTTCTCCCTCCCAGCCCAAATTCTATTTTGGGAGTAGACTTGTAATTGTGTGTTTGTTAATATAGCTGTCTGTTGCCATGAACAAAGTGAGGTCACCAGTTTTCAACTACAGCTTTGCCACAGAGTGAAGGGCTTTCAAACACTTCCTTAAATGTACCGTTTTTTTTTTACTTTACATCATTTCATTTTGTTCTGCTCTTAAGGTGCTGTCAATCAAAATGATATCAAGGAAAAATATCTATCATTAAAATAGCATATTTTGATGGGCTGGGAGTTGTACTGCTGTCACATCTGTCTGTGACTTTTCTGTTTAATACACAGCATTCAGATGTTCTCCTTTAGAGACTTGGCAAGGGTTTTCCTGGAACTATGTTGAGAATTAATGCATATGTACCATTTTAAGATGTTTTATTTACCTCAGTGTTATTTTTTTTAAAGCTCATCGGTCGCATGTTATGTTGTATTGTAGCATCCAGAGCTCAAAATGTTTATATTTTGAATCTGTATTTATGCACTTTTAAAACTTGAGTAGAGTCCAGCATACCACTATAACTTAGTTTATCAGTGCTAAGGCTCATACTGCCTTTACAATATCCTCTGATTATAACCGTGCTGCTTTCTCCCATCTACCCTAAACTCCTGAAGGCTTTTTTAATAGTTTGTATGTTCTGAATTAGATGAATGGATTGAAAATGTGAGGCAAATTTCTGATGAATACAAATTGCCACAGTTACCTTCAGATCAGCAGGTTGTGTCACCCACCTTGCTGGTGATAGGAGGACGTTTGGATGGCCTTGGAGGTTCTTTTCCAACCTTGATGATTCTATGATTGTATGGTTTTAAAGTGAGACAGGGGAGGTTTAGGTTGGATCTGAGGAGGAAGTTTTTGAGCCAGAGGGTGGTGAGGCACTGGCACAGGTTGCCCAAGGAGGCTGTGGATGCCCCATCCCTGCAGGCATTCAAGGCCAGGCTGGATGTGGCTCTGGGCAGCCTGGGCTGCTGGTTGGCGACCTGCACACAGCAGGGGGTTGGAGCTGGATGAGCACTGTGCTCCTTTGCAACCCAGGCCGTTCTGTGATTTGATGATCTGTACATCTCCAGTACTTGAAACTCTAATGAATTGCATTACCTTCTAATAACTCCAAGCCATCAGTTTCTACAAGGCTGAAGACAAGCACAGAAGCATAAACAGGGCCATGGTGGAAATGAAATTAATAATACAGAATCGCCTTTTTTTTTTTTTTTTTTTTTTTTGAAAAACTATTTCAGATATTCCTACCCTAAAGCCACCAGCATTAAAAACAATGAAAATAAGCAGATGTTTAGCACTGTGTATTTTTGGTTGATTTCTGTCACAGCAATATTTCCTCTCTTTCATCTCTCTTGCTGTAAAGCAGGCAGTGGTTCCAAAGACAGATTTGATTGCAATGAAAAAAGGGTTTAAGCCTTATTATGGAAGCACCTCGTTCCAATTTAAAAAAAGGAAAGAAAATTTAAGAAGAGATATTTTTAAAAAAGCAGTACAAAATTAATAGATTAGAGGGAGATGAGTTTTGCCATATCAGTTAGGTTCTTTGAGCATATAAAAATATGTCCACTCATTGGTCAAGACATTAGAAAAGTTGGAAAAAGGAATTCTGGCACAGCTGAATGGAGAATTCAGCCATTGAAGGCATCTTTGCAAGAAGTGAAACACAGCAAAGGTTGAAACCAAGTCTTCATGGCCATTGAGAAGTGTGTTAATCTGTGTATGTTAAACTGATGTGAGCTCTAATGGAGTGATCTGAAATTCAGCAAATATCAGTGTCCACTTTTTGGTTATGAAAGATCTGGCTCAAGAACTGATGATTCCTATTGAAGATACTGCCTTAGTGTATTTGAACACATTTAATTTTAAGTATTTGTCCAGGAGATGTTCAAAATCAGCATTTTTATCTGTCTAATTGAGTGGTTTCAGACTGCAGTCCTATGAGTTGAGGCAAAGGCCACCACTGGGAGCCAGCAGTCAGCATTTTTCCACCTCACTCCAGTTAGATCCACGTACTAATGCTGACTTAAAAGTCTCACGGCTTAAGTTTAAGTTTTCTCTTTGAATGTAATTTAGAAATTAGAGATGGAAAATTCCACACAGGGACAACACAGAATGAGCAGCACCCAATAGCCAAGATACCAGAACGAACAAACGCTTCCTATTTTCTTGTCATCAGTGGATCTCTTCACAGCCTAGCAGAAAACAAAACACGTTGTTGTAGTTATCTGATGTCTTTACAATGCACGAAGATCACTTATGCTTTTGGTAAGCTGATGCCTTTTGTCGTAACAACAAATACACCTGCAGTGATGTTGGTAAGTCTTTGGGGGGAATGAATCATCATCTTGAAACGATTCAGAATGGATGTAAATCACCCAGCTATATGCCTGATGTTTGTTTCCTCATCAGCGGAGATGATTTGAAAGGCAGATGTGCTTCTCCTTAAAAATCTGAGATACACCTCTAATCTCCCATATTGTTTGTACCTACAGATGAAATTAGAACTTCCTCCTATTGTCCTTCTCTTGTGTCCCATCGTCCCTAGCTGACGCATATTGTATAGTCTGCTCATTTCAAATGAGGCAACGGCATTTTCAAGATGAAACTGTTTCTCAAACTGAGAAATGGCTGAAATCCAAAGATTATTATCGCCCCATCCATTCCTCACAGTGTTGCATGGGAGAATTTTCTGTATCGTGGACACACTTTCTGAGGTCTTTGCTTTGATTTCCCACTAGCAGGAGAGATGATCGTGACACTTCTTTTTTTTGTAATGAGGCTAACCTGTAAATTATCATGAAAATTAAAAATAAAATGAGAATTGACGGCTAAGACAAATTTGTCTTTAATCTTCTTTTCAAATTTCTTCACAGAGCATCTATAGCAATATTGAAGGGAAAATCCAAGCTAGCTCTAGCGTAACCAGATAAAATTAACTGTTGCTTTATAGCAAGCAATGCATTTTCTTTTTTTTTTTTAAATAATCATGCTAATTAGAAAGGACCGTGGATATTGATGTGCACAGGAGACTTTGCAAGACAAACAAGAGGCGGAAGGCTGTATGTATGGAGAATAAACCAGTTTTAATTGATGACCATTCAGGCATTCTTTCTACTTTTATATCCCAAACAGGGATATGTGAAAGCAATTGAGATCAACAAAAGAAATAACTTTTTTATGAAGCACAGAATTAATATGTGTTGTTTTGTTTTTTTTTTTGCCATAACTGAGAATTTAGTAGACTGTTTGTTCTCCAGACCAGATTAGAAATTTATGTATGTATAGCATAATTTTTGCAATTACATTACATCTGTATGATAAAAATGGTCACACTTACAATCTTCATGTTTTTGAGCATTGGCCAATAACGAATCTAATAATTCCAGCAGTTATGGGAGAGAGAAACTGGTTTGGGCAGATACTACTCCTTAAGGATCAGTACTGCAATTTCACTGAGTTCTCTCTTTGGTTTCAGAAAGCAGAAGATGGGACGAGGTGACAGGATTATAAATTTGTACACCCGCAGACTTTTTCTTTCTTCTTTTCATGGAGAATATAGTGCACAGATAATAATAGCATCTTCAGTGTGTGGGTTTATCGCAAGGGTTAACGACAGGAATGACAAATACACTCATTTTTCAGAGCGTTGTGTCTTGCTTGTAGTATAAGGCAAACTGCCCAGTAGTTTTTAGCTGCTTAAGTTCTAGTTTGTGGTGATAATGGCTTTTCTTTTCCTATACAGCTGTTTTCTTTGTTCTAGATCTCAGTAAATACTGCTAGCTACGGCTTTAATTGAGATCTATCCTTTTACTCTATGTAAAAAAAAGCCATCTTGAGAAATGTTCCAAAATGTAAAGTGACATTCCTATTGGAGAAAAAGTATTTTTCCTCCCCAGGATTTAGACATATTAAATCTTATGAGAAGAAGCAACCGTGTCTGAGTATCCGCCGTTCCTTTCCAGGGTGCGCAATGACTTCGACGTCCTCACGAACCGGCTGATCGGCAGCCACGGCTACTGCACTCAGGTAAGGGAAACACGGAGCCCTGGAGGTGTTGTGTGCCTCTGAGAGCTGTGCCACAGAAAGCTGGTGCTCACCTCTGGGAGGAGATGGCATTTCTCACACGCACACACGTGCACCTTTGCGCCCGCGTTGGAAAAACTCAGCTCATTGTAATTACGTCGCCAACAGGAATTGGTGAACTTGCTGTTGACTGGCAAAGCTGTGTCCAATGTTTTCAACGATGTGATAGAGCTGAATTCTGGAAATGGAAACATCACCATTCTGAAAGGCATCACAAGCCGCAGTGACATTGGGTTGCTGTCTCTTTTTGAGCACTATGACGTCTGCCAGGTATGTTTTCCATTCTTCTGATTTTTATCCAAAAGGGAGCAATTAGTAACTTTAAAATTGGCTTGGAATGAGTATAGAAAGTAAGAAATTATGAGCTTCATTCTGCTGCCCACTCAGATGGTTCCGGTGCAATTTTCAGATGCCCCAAGGCAAAGTGTGGTAAACTTCATTTAGTGCTGGTGGTGGCGATGGTGATGAGGAGACGGTTGGACTAGATGATCTTGTAGGTCGTTTCCAACCTTGTGATTCTATGATTCTGGATGCAGGTCCTGTGTCACACAGCCCTCTGTAAATGGCTTGGGAAATCTCTGAGCATCTCAAACGTTCTGTGCCTACGTGTTTTTCTAGCAGATCTCTTGCAGTGTCAGCTTGCTGTCTAACACATTTCTGTTTCAGTATCTGCTGTTCCCCTGATTGTATTCACCAAATCTCTGCTGATTACAGAGGAGTTGAGGTGCCCAGCTCACACGTGGGTGCTTATATTCTGGTCATGTAAACATAACAGGCTGTATCTGGAGCTGGTGCTTACCTTAAGTGTTGGTTTTCCATTAGTTTGTGTGACTAGGAGCCAGACTGATTGCATCATCTAATTCATGCTGGAATGCTGGAGGTTGTCATATTGTGTTAGAAATAATAACAGACAATGGATGTAACTGGCAACAGAATGGGAACGTTCCCTTTAATATGTTTTTGAAATTAATATTTTAATTGTGTTTATCATGAACTGAGAAAGATTAAAATTTAAAAGAAGCGACAGCCACTAATTTACCTCTGGAAAAACTTGCGTGAGGATTTCTCTGATTTCTCCATCAGCAGATCTTATCATCACGGTGGACATCTTTCCTAATGACATATTCTATCTAAAACAGACAGTCTTGTGTCTGATGCTGGGATTTTCTTTGAAGCCTGTGTTAGATGCTGGATGAGATAACTGTAATGGTCCCATCTGGATTTGCCATCAGTGCCTCCATACAAACTGGAAGGTGATTAGCAGAGAGTCTGTTTGTACTTGTCTAATATAAATATGTGTATGAAAACAGAGTTAGATTTTCACTGTGTTTCCCATATGGCTGAAAGCAGTTCCATTTTCCTACTACTGAGAATTCTAATTCCTCTTACTTTTAATTAATGCAATGCTTTACATCATTTACAAGGTTACAATCAGGCTTAAATTCAGTACATAAAGCATATCTCAACATTTCCAATTCGGACTAATTTGGAGCAAACTGAAGTAAAAATAAATTAGCTTCAGTGGCTATTTCAAGCTCGCTGTCCTTTCCTGTAAAGAATGTAACACTTAAAACCTCAAATAAAAAGGTTTGCAGTAGCATTTTTTCCACTCTCCAGTGAGCAAAGCGACTTCTAAATAGCAAGATGGTCATTGAGGTCAGTGCAGCTAAGAGCTATTTCTTTCTCATCTAAGAGCAAAATAAAAAGTTGCTCAGAGAATCAGACACTGTCTTCCACTCACTCTGCAAATTATACAGTGGAGAGGGTCCATCCTTCTGTCTGGACTTGGGAGCAAGGATCTGTTTTCCAAGCCAGAGACTCTTAATCAGCTACAGAAGCCCCAGTACATGTTGTCTTCCCTTTTCGTTGTTGTTGTTGTTGAGTCTGCACCAGTTAGGCATCTGATGCCAATTGTCATGCTTATTATTAAGAACAGCTGTGAGCATTGCAGTTCGTACATCTGGGTGCACATTGCATGGCCTGACTAAGGGCTGGGCACTCCAGTTCCTGCTGGAGTTTAGCTTCAAGTCTGGGCAGTCCCTATCACAGCTTTGGTGCAGGGGGCCACATTCTGCTTTCTGTTTCAAACCTGCTTGTTTCGGAAATCAAATGGCACTGATAGTTTGCCGTGTTGGAACTGGGAAGAGAATTTGCCTGCAAGTCTTTCGAGTGGACTGTTTTCTTCCTCTTTGTATTTCAGTAAGTAGCTCCAGCCTCCAATTACATTGTGGCTGTGAGGATGGGCTGAAACCAGAAATGGAAAAGAACTGTAATTTATCCTTTTTTTTTTTTTCCCTCAGGAGTAAGAAAATCCTGAGCGTGATATATGGTGAATCATGGACATTAGAGTTGGAAAACTCCCTCTAGGTCAAACCCAGCCGATTTCTCAGGGGATGATGCAGGATATTTTTGTGTCCTGTTGCAAAGCAGGCTCTCTTTAAAAAACCCCTATTCATTCTAGTGGTTGGTAGCCCTGCACATAGCAGGGGGGGTTGAAACTAGATGATTGTTGTTGTCCTTTTCAACCCAGGCCCTTCTATGATTCTATGATTCCATAAACTCTTGCCATCAGATAGCCACTTATTTGTTGATTGTAGTGCATCTAATTATGACTTCGCCTTTTTTCTCACGTGTCTACTTTAGAATATGAGGAAGTACAAAGAAGGATTGTACCTCTGTATGTGGAGATTTTGGTGTTATCTACCATACAGCTTGTGCTTTGGACATACTTCCTCATGTTAAACCTGATGGTCCATTTACTTAGTGTCCTCTGATTATCTTTCCTCCTTCTAATCCAGCCTTCCCCCAGAACAACTAATGGCCATCTGCTAGACATTTGTGAGCTGATGCAACAGTCGCAACAGCTTTTTCAACAGCTCATCTTGTCCAGAGCTTATTTTTATTGCACTCCTGTAGACTTCTTCCTACTTACCAATGCATTCATTAAGAGATACACAAGATTCCAGGCAGTAAATCCACACAGGAGAATATTCTTATATATTTCATCTCTCTTGTCTAAAATATGGGGTATTCATATATAAGGCACAGTTTTCTTGGCATATCTTTGGAGCTGAGAACACTGTGAGGGCATGAGAACGGAATTAATCCTTCTGTCAAATGTCAACAGTAGCAAATAAGAACAAAATGATCTGTCCCTTTTTCATCCATGATTCCTGAAGAATCCCTCTGTTGCTGATCCAGGAGTCTCTTTCAGTGAATCATGCTGAATGTGTTATCTTTGCTGATTGGAAAAACGTGTGCTTCATGTCATTTGTCTGGAAGTGTTCATGTCCAATCATCACTACTAGTCCTACCATTACCATGTTCATTTTAGTCTTTGTAGTGTAATTACTTGTTGTGCATTTTTTTTTTTGACAATGACAGATGGATTTATTCAATGCAATTCATATGCAAACATTTAGTTTCATAGTGAAATTCCACATTTTTATGCAAAAAAGCTAAAAATCCCTACTGTTCCTTCTCTGTAGGCAAGTCACAGATGTTTGGATTTCTTCCTTTGTGACAAGCCTGTACTCAAGCTACGTATCTTAGTTCCACCTGATCCTACACATTGAACTGAGAAGACTTCATTAAAATTTTGGGCTTTCTGGTATTTTTTTAATGCTTTATAAATTGCTGAAACGTTTTTAAAAGCTGGTCAACCTGCCTAAACCTGGGCTGGCTTCCCTCTGTCTGCTGGCTGGCGGCATGCAGCGGGTCCGTAATAGTCTGAGGAGCTGTGTGGTTTCTGCAGTGGGACAAGACCTTGGGTAAAGAAGCCAGGTGCAGAAGTGTGCAGGACCAATGCAGAGGTGACATGGGAGAAAGTCCCTGCTTTTTGCTCAGTCCTTGGCTTTGCAATAACGTTTTACAAGGGAGGTGATGGATGAGCAAAAGGCAAAGTGCTTTTCTCTGGCTCATGCAGTGAGCTAGCGGTTCAACTTGAGGAAGGTACAGCTCTTCTGAATGTCTGCTTTCATGGTTTGTACAATACTGGCCGATTTGGCCTTCTGAAATGCTTTCTGAAAGCACTACAGTATGCACTGTTACACCTCCTAAGGTAAGTATTCGAGGCTGCTCAGCTCTTTTGGATGAGGACTCTGATTCTTCTAGGAGTTGGACTAAATGCTCCTTATGGGTCCCTTGTAATTCAGGATATTCTGTGATTTTTGGTCTTCCCTGCTCCTGCTCCCAGGCAGTCCTGCTATCACAGAGAAGCCAGGTGACCTCCCAGGCTCACCATATTCTGATTCCTGACAGCATCCAAATCCATGCATCAGCTGTCAGCATTTCGAAAGAGTCTGCTTTTTAGTGTTCATGTTTCTGAAAATGAAGAGAAAACAGTGTTGACAAAGAAATTACAGTCATTTTTCCTGTGTCTTTTGAGAAAGAGAAGGAAGCATAAAAGGACAGAATTTATCTATTAAAATTCCACATATGGGAAATATTATCTTTGGTCCTTTTGATGAAACCAGCACAAGCTGTGCTATAACAAGACCTACTTGAATTATTAAATTCAGCACACATGGTCTGTCTTCTGGCACCTCACCTGTTTATTTGCCCTGTGGAACGTCCTTCCTATAACCTCCTATGCTGGGAAGTATGTCTGCTAAGCAGGAGCCTCTCTCAGTCAGATGGACTGGATTCAAGTCAGGTCATTGGTGAGGTTGTGGAGGGGGAGGGATAGAAAGAGTTTTTTAACCATCTTGTTTAAGAAAACATCAGAAAGTAGGCATTTGCAAAATGGAAACCAATGGTTGGTTTTATTTTCTGCTTATTTTTCAATAATGGGTAGGCAGTAGACATTGTACATGAATGGATGCATTGTGCAGGTGACTGCTATTATGCAAGGCATTCATGAGTGCCACTGTGGGCAAAAATATGCGATACGTTCAGTTTGACTGAAGCAAACCTGACAAAGCATTGACCATATTTAAAGTGTATTCTTCATTCCTTTCTTTTAAATCCCTCTTTCTGTCTTGGAAATGAAATTTTCTTCAATGAAGTCCTATTGTCCTCCTCATGGACATCTTTTTTCCCAGTAGCCAGTCACTGTTGCTGAAATATTGGCATTGATTTCTTGTCAACGTGCTGCCAAATAAGAAACGATCACAGCAATTTTATGTAAGACTATAAGACAAACTTCACATTTAAAAGAACTTTGCATCGTTTGTTAAAATGCAAAACAGAAAATGTTAAGTCAAATACTGTCCTCCTATCTGTTCATATTGTAGATATCTGTATTTTGGTCTGCACTGATCCCATCAAACTTTATCTCTTCTTCCTTGATTTTTACGGAGAGCCAAAGCCTAGAGGCCAACCCAAATTAGGGGGCCAACAAATAGATGTTAGAGTTAAGTGGACTGAATCTTGACCTATCTTTGCCATTTTAGTAAAGCAACAGATTGAAATTAGTATAAATCCCTCCACTTGGCCTGAAGGAATGGCAAAGTCCTGAAGTCTGAATGAGGGGGTGATTTTCCCTCAATATTACTTCATTTGGTGGGACGTACAAGAAAAGCAACAGAATGGGGCAAGGATAAAGGAACAATCTTGAGGCTACCTGGCACCTTTTTGCCTTACTGCAATTGCTGTGTTCTCTTACAGACCTAAGTAAAAAAATCAGTGCTGCCCAAGTCTTTTCTTTCCTTCGGTCATCCTGGGACTGAGCACACATCTCTTTCAGTTCTTCTCCATTAGTTATGTACTTTTTTCCTCCAGATTCACCATCAGAAAGGACTCAAAGCTATGGAAAATATCTATGATTCCCTCGTATCTGTATTTTTTTCTTACTACTGCTAATAAATACCTGGCTGAAAAAATGCTTCAATCTCTGCCTGACCTGGCATAGCCACTAAATTGTGCATAGTCTGAATGTCAGAAGTTGTGAACATTAATTTTATGTCTTAATCTAAAATTAAAATTAAGTACATATTTAATGAACATAAACTTGACACCGTCCCTTAATAACATGCAATGATAGCATGTAAGTGTAAATGGAGATGTAGCAGTAATATGGTTGACCTGCTGTTCTATTAATGGTGGTGGAATGGGTCATCTGAGTTAATTGTGTCCTCGATCACCCAAGCACTGTTATATGGGTGTCTGTTTTTACATCATTGACTTCTCTGTCCGAACACTGTTGGAACATTGTTTAATGTTAATTCAAACCAGCAGAGGCCATGGCAACTGGGGGAAAAGAGCTGTTGTTTGTTCCACTTCACAGAATCACAGAATCACCCGGGTTGGAAGGGACCTCAAGGATCATGTAGTTCCAACCCCCCTGCCTAGCAGGGCCACCAAACACACACATTCAGATCAGGTTGCCCAGGACCCTGTCCAACCTGGCCTTAAACACATCCAAGGACGGGGCATCCACAACCTCCCTGGGCAGCCCGTTCCAGGGCCTAACCACTCTCCTTGTATAGAACTTCCCCCTAACATTCAACCTAAATCTTCCCTCCTTCAACTTCGATCCATTTCCCCTAGTCCTGCTGTTGTCAGCCCTTTTGAAGAGTTTACTCCCCTCGTGGGTGTAGGTTCCCTTCAGGTATTGATAGGCTGCAATGAGGTCACCACGCAGCCTTCTCTTCTCCAGGCTGAACAAGCCCAACTCCCTCAGCCTGTCACTTGGTATATGTGTGGCAAAAGCCTTGCTCAGTGAGGAAATCATGTCTGAATGGGGCAGTACCATGCACTCATGTTGGCAGCTACATAGGAATAATTCTCCTGTAGTAAATATTTGTGTGATTTAATTTCAACATTGTGCAAATACACACTGAAGTCATATGTGGAAAAAGACCACCCGTAGTGTTGAAAATGAGCCTTCTGAAAGGGCTTGCTTTAGAAAGGTTGACATTTTCCAAAGATGAGGATTGTGTCTCTGAAATTTATGAGCATTCTTACAGGATTTGTAAGGGATGCGATTACTGTTCAGTGAATTCTCCTTAGGAATTGGAAACATGCAATACAAAAAGACATCTTACACATTCCCCCTCTTAATTTTTTTTGCCTTGGCAAAGATTAATGAGCAAGCTTGAAAATAAACATCGAATAGTAATGCGTTATTATTTTGTAATGCATTATGATACTACAAGAAGCTTTTTCTGTTCTTCAAACTATAAGACAGTCGATGAGCCCTTGACAAAAATAATGATATTTGATTAAACAGATTCATGCCATGTACTCCTGATTTGCCTTTGGAAATCAGTGCTGCCAGTGCATTTGTAGGGCACTTGCTGGAAGGTGCATGCTTAAAGTCAGCTTAAGTGGTTTTGATTCAGATCACGAGATGCTCATTCTTGTCCTTCAGTGTCCTGTGTCAAGGTCCTGTTACACTCCAGCTTTGTTATCACCCAACAACCTGGCCAGGCAACTGAAGAAGCACTCACCACTGATCAGGTGGGCCAGTTAAATGGAGATGTTCTTTTTGCCCACTCAGCAAGTGATGCTTGAAAAAGTAGGCAAGAGAATCCTCACAGTGAGGGTGGGGGGCTGTTTTGTCCACCCTGATGCTCATAAACGTAAGTGCAATGTTGCTGCACAGCATGATCACTACGTGCATGTATCAAAGGCTACAGGACATGTATAATTTACTTATCACCTCATTAAATGGAGATACGTTTAAGGAAGACTACTCCCACCTGTCTGGAGTTCATGGGCTGTTCCTCAGTTTATTGTGTATTTTTCTGAGTTTTGTTTGAACTATTTTGCTGATGTAACAGAGAGCTTGGGGAACTGATAGAAGATGTCTGTAGTTGTCAAAAGGCCAAGGAGAGCCTGCAGAAAACATGGCACATACTTGTATGGAGAAGGATGAAGAGGCATGGGAGTGTTTAGATAGAGCAAAGGGAGCATGTGACACTGTTAGTGGTTGGGCTTGGGTGTTTGTTTCTGCGTGGCAGATGCACGTCAGGAGATAAAAGGCAATAAGAGAAGGGAGTAAATGTGTTTGAAGGATGTAATTCCTTGGATTTGGGCTGTTATTAGACTTCACTATGGACTCTTTGCTCATTAAATCTTACAGTTCTACTCAGCACACTGTTGTATGGGAAGAAAAGTCATCTCAGAACTGAATTTTCTGTACAGTTAAATTGGAAGTGAGATTAGAAACAGATTGAAGTAGCCAGCTGCTGGGTGGACCACTGCAGTGATGTCTGGGATTGCTGCAGGCCATGTCTGGATGCAAAACTAACCAAGACCAAGGCGTGGATCTGAGAACAAATGGTTGTGAATCCGTGGTTGTATGTATTTTCTGAAAGTTTGGAAGCATGGTTCTCAATTTCATTGTATTACTTTTTGTAGAAAGAAATTGAGAGCTTGAGGAATGTTGTAGGATAGGGATGCTGCTTATAGCCATGTGGACACAAACCATTCTGTGCCGAGCGGACTTAAGGCTGTGAACAAAACCTGAACTTGTTTTCTCTACTGGAGTAGGAATAGCTTGACTTAGCTGGAGGCCCCCAGAAGCTGATGACAGTAAAACAAAGTGGTAGAGGTGTGGGGGAGAAGCACATCAGGAGGCACTGGCCACTGCTGGTACACAGTGTGATGTTAAAAGCAGCATCTGATTTTGAACTAAAAGTTCAGAGTGAAAGCGATGCAACTGAAATGGAGACTTCTCGTTTCTTATGGGAAATGAGTTTTGACATGCAACATTTTGATGTTCTCATTGTTGCCTTCAAGTTGAGGGCCTTGCCTTCTTCCGCTAGCGTTGTGATTGAAAACTGTGCATATTTGGAAAGTGTTCCTACAAGACCTTACTTATCTGAACAGCTTGTCCTGACTTCAGTGGGATTGTTCATGTGAGTAAGAGTTGGGGTGGACGTCTGCTTGGAAACAGTCCTGTATCTCTCTAATCCTTTTTTGTCGAACGTTGTTTGATGAAGCTTACAAGTTACTTTAGCAGACATATATGGGAAGAAAACATGTTATTTTTTTAAGAGAAGAGTGACTGTTCCCTTTTGGCTTTGATTTATCAGGATACTAGAATGTGGATGTTTGTGCAACTGAATCTTTTCATCCATTGCCCTCTAATTTGCCGTCTTTTGTTGCATCTGTGTATTTCCCTTCTTGATAACTTGTGTTATGAGTGTTTTTGTAAGCTTGTAAAAAAATGCAGTACATGGAAGCCAAGAATTAAAAAACAAAACTGTTGCATAAAAGCCTGTTTTAAATAGATACTGACAGAGCAATGAATCAGGCAGGAGTTACTTAAGTAGTGAGTAACTGTTATCCGGCATCAGAAGAAATTATCATTTGGGAAGATAATTTTGTAACACTTCAGATTTAAGTTCTAAATCTTAATAATAAGAAGGATATGTTCCTTATGCCTTAGAATACTCTTTAGGCTTTTCACTGCAACTGCGTATTTATTGGCTTCTGCTTTTTAGTGCTGTACTGCATGACCTGTATTACAGAGGCAGAAACTGATGCTGCATTTTCCTGCATGTACACTTGGACGCTTGGCTGCCATCCCTTGAGTTGCAGATCTACATCATCCCAACAGTGCCACGTCTGTTTAGGAGATAAAACACAAAACTTCAGGTGGAATAAAGATGGTTGTACACAACAACCAGCATGGCAGTGATTCTGTCATGGATTAAGACAGTGGCATGCAAAGGAAAGCGGTAGCTATCTCAGAACTCAGTAGTGTCAGGTGAAGAAAATACTACATTTTACTGACTGACTTCAGGGGAGGCAGAAATCTCCCTGACTCTTTTTATATCAGCATCTACCGTGTTTCAGAGCAATAGATGCATCCCTGTAGGTATTCAAGCATATATACGTATGTCTGCCTTAAAACATAAATCCCATGGGGAGTGATAGAGATGAGTCTTACAGCTATTTCAGAGGACAGTTTCTTCTTATTCTGATCATTTGGGATGTGATCTTGTTTGCTGTAAGGGTACTACAGCTGGATTTTGTCACCTATAATCAAGGCCAGATACTTGCTTTGAACCTCTAAATGACTTACCAGGTCTTTCCTGGTCTGTAATCTTCTGAATCTTTCTTTTAGGTCGGTTGTTACCTGAAGACTCCTAAATACCCAATTTGGTTGGTATGCAGTGAGAGCCACTTCAGTGTGCTTTTTTGTCTGGAAAAGGATTTACAAGGCGACTGGAAAACCGAGCGGAGGTTTGATCTCTATTATTACGATGGCTTGGCCAACCAAGAAGAAGAAATACGATTAACAGTTGGTACGTACAGTGCAGTGACTGCATCTCACCCCTTGAGGCGGTGACATCGAAAAGAAGCATCCAAAATTGCATGAAAAGGGAACAAATTGATGATGGTATCTGGCATTACGAGAGCATTTGTGAGCCTGTTTTCTAATTTCCAGAATTAGTCTTGATGTTTCATTTGGAAGTAGATTTCTCAAGGCAGTCATGAGGACAAGCCCTCGGAAGGGCATTTTCCTCCAGCTGTTGCTATGTGTTTTCTGCAGGCAGAAAGTGCAAACCCTCTGTTCCTCAGCACTACACACATGGTAGTGTGAGCAGAGCAGGTGAGCAAGGATTGAATCCTTGCTTCCAAATCCAGCTGCTTCAGAAGATGGCCATAACATCTAGCAAGGACAGGCCTGCTTGTGAGCACGCTTGGAAATACGAGAATGTGAAAGATCTGACTTGTTAAACACATTCTTTCAGGAAACCATGTCAAATTATGGGGTTGCTTCTACAGAAGTTGTGCTTCTTGAACTGGAAGACAGTTGGACAAGCAGTATTCTGATGCTAAGAAGGCTTCATTTCCATATTAAGATATTCTTGAGCACTAAATTCATATTTGCTTATGATAGCCTCCTTATCCTTTGCTTTCCATCCATTGCTGCATGTATACAACCTAATCAAACTCCATCTTTATCTGAAGGAGACACTCTGCTGAAGTCCTCTCTTAAAAGCAGCCTGTTGGCGTTCCTTGTTTGCACTGACATTCTGATTCTTGGACAGGATGAGTTACACACGAGGGCTGCATGTTCTAATTAAGGCCCTGTGGCAAAGCAGTTGGTATGATGGTGGCTCTGGAGGCCTTTAACATCTCGTAAGGTTTGGTAGTGAATGCTGTAGCCTTTCTTTCCTCTTATTTTGATTAAAGTCCGTGACTTTCAATTGTAGCCATTGCATTATATGTTATTTCTGCAAATTTCTCAACCCCCACAGCACATTGCTGCAAAATGGTTCCCACACAGTCTGTCCCAGATACAGGAAGATTTATTAAAACAGATTGTACAAAAAATCCCTATATCTTCACTTGGAGACAACATATTGTAAGCGTTAACAAGTTATCATCAAAACAATAACCATTACCAACAATCTCACTATTTTCATAGGCTAATACTTTTTTTATTCAGCCTTTTTAGGCCGAATGTTTTCCGTGATTTATTTATTTGGCTGTTATATGTTGTCCATATAAAAGAAGTAAGCTCTTTTGATTTTAGTCTGTGGATTTAGGCTTGCTGTTTTCAGACGGTCCGAGGGAATTGCTACATGCTCGTGACCGTAAGCAGAGGATTTCTCCTTCAGGTAGAAGGATTCTTTCCTTCTTTCCTTCTTTCCTTCTTTCTTTGATACAGAGGATTCTGAAAAGGAATGGCAGATGGAGACGTGTTCATTGTATTCTGCTGCACTGTGCATCATACGGTCCAAAACAGGCATCCTTCTTTTTCTCTTTGATAAATCACAGACATCTCCAAACTCCAAATGTACCCAACACTCTGAGAGCCCTGGAAGAGAAAGTGTTCAGAGGCAGAATTGTCTATTTCTCCTCAAAGATGAGACTTGCACTGAGAGGTAGATGTCTTTTTGTTGCAGCCATAGCCCCTTCCATGGATCCAGCCTCTTCTTTTGTTATCTGTGACATTCTGCAGAAGGCTGTAAACTGCAAATAGTTTCATCATTCCAGGCAAAGGCTTTTGCAGCTCTGGCAGTGCAGTAATCCTGCACTTGGTCTGGAGAAAACCTGGAGTTGTTTTACTTCTTAAAGGTGACACTGAACATAAATCTAAGCTATGCATGCAGTACCAGGTAGAAATACCATGATGGCAAGTATGACTGGTATTTCCACCATGGAAATATCAACAAGCTGTGATGATAAGGCAGCATTATGCAGAGGTATAGCATGAAGTCCTGGATGTTGCACAGCCACATCTCACAGATCTGAGTTTGGGAGGTTGTTTGCTTCTCGTTAGCAATAAAGGGAATTCCTTGAAATGTAGATCTTACATACAGTTATGAAGATTACAATCAAGATCACATTTAGAAAATCCTGAAGAAATTATACTGGGCAAGAATTGCATAGAAGCCAGAAAGTAGGAGCAGAATTAATTTTGGGGTTAACAGCAAATACTGTTTTGCATTAAATCACCATCAATATTACATGGGATTGAGACTTTGCCCTGCTTCTCATACTAATTACCCCTTTGCAAAACATTGACAAGAAATATGAAGTTCCTTCCTAAAAGCAGGCTGCAGCTACTAGCGAGTTCAACACTCAATCCTAAATAAAGGTTCATCAGTTCTTTCCATTTGGTAGAATTTTCTGATAGTCATAGAGAGAAAACAAGCCAGTGGATCTAAATTAATTGCTCATGTGCTTTTGTCAGTTGTTTAGGGACTCAGTGAGATTGTTGTTACAGGTCACGCAGAGCTCTTGTATGAAAGAGCTTCTTGTTCTGCTTGGAGAAATAGAACTGTTTTCTAATATTCACCATTAATACCCATCTATGTCAACATTCACAATATATTGTCTCCAAAGTTAAGGTGAGATTGTTCCAACGTGCAAAAGTCTTCTGGAAAAGCAATTAATGAAACATCACTTCCTAAGGTGGCCATTTAAATAATGAGCATCATGTCTTGTCTGTTCCAGTTCCACTCTCCTGAACCTGTCCTCACATATCTCTTGAATAACAAGTTTGTAACTCATCTGACGCTCAGTTTCTCATCATCTTTAGCTTAGGTATAAGTATAAATGATGATCAGATAGGTAGATCAGGTCCTTCTTGCTCTTGGTGACTCCTAGGTGGAAAAGTTTAACACTGAGGCTCTTTGCTCCCAAATGAGTTATGTGAAACATTTTAATGCAGTCATTAGTTGAATAACTTAGCTAAATGCTCTCTGCCTGATTTGGGAAGGTATACTTTCAGTGATACTTTTATATTCCTTTCTATGAAAAACAGCAGTTCAAAATCCAGTTGGAAGAACTCAAGTCTAGAACTGAGAAAACTTTGCAAGAGACTATGAAAGGCAGCGGTGCTGGATGCCTATTTTTTGCTGATTTTGTGATTAGGACAGCAAATGCTGCTTCTTTTTAAGGGATCCTCAGATCCTAAATGTCCGTATCAGGAATTCCTGGAGTGCACAAACACTATTCATAGGGATCATAGAACCACCAAGGTTGGTAAAAACCTCTGAGATCACCCAGTCCAACCACCCACCTACCACCAATATTTCCCCACTGACCCATGCCCCTTAGTAAAAGGTCTGAGTGCCTCTTGAATACCTGAGAGAAAGAGGTGTTCTTTGCTCTGAGAGTGGTGAGGGGCTGGAACAGCTGCCCAGAGAGGCTGTGATGCCCCGTCCATCCGTGGAGGTGTTGGAGGCCAGGTTGGATGGGGCCCTGGGCAGCCTGGGCTGCTGTGCAATGGGGAGGTTGGTGGCCCTGCATTGCTGGGGGGTTGGAGCTTCGTGATCCTTGAGGTCCCTTCCAACCCAAGCTATTCTATGATTCTGTGATGTGCTATTGGAGACCTGTAACAAACTCTTATAAACCCTTAAATATTAAGATGAGAGAGGGCCATTGAGTATTGACAGATTCCAGTGTATCCCTTCAGTTCCTGAGGTTCCAGGATAAAACTGCCACTACTTTAAGTAATTTTAAATTTTGACTGTTTTCTGTTACTCTGCCCCTGCAGTCGCTCACAGCATTCTGCAGGCATTTGTACTGACAGGAGGAAGTCAGATATAGCTGAGACGGGCAGTGAATATAGGAGCATTTGCCTCCCATCCTGTCTCCATCAGTCTCACTGCGTCAGCTCCATATCCTGCACCCTGGCTTGGTACCATCAGTTGCTCACAACATTCCCGTGGGCTGAAAGAAAACTGCCAAAAACCAGCTCCAGTGTACAGCAGTTTAAGATGTTTTACTCCAAAACAGGAAACAGCTGAGCAGACTGACATCCAAGCTGGCTGCAGGATGTTTTCTCCCTGGGAAATTCAGCAACTACTTTCACTGTTGACAGATCCAGGCTCTGAGACACTGACCTCTCTGTTTTCCCCGGAACAATGCAATTGCCTCTCCATCCCAAAGGAATGCACAGAGACTGTGGTAGCTCTCTTCCATCTCACACAACACTGTCTTCTCCCATCTGTGCACTCTTTCCACAGCGAAGGGACAGTTTTCCTTTCAGGGGCGAAGGAATGTTAATTTACTTTTGGCTGGACTTGGGATTTGTTATTCATATGTAGGACTATTACTGTCCTCATTGTGTGATTAAACTGCTTTCTTAATCATCCATTCCTTGACGGCAAAATAGATCCTCACAGTAGCCCTCCAGCACATCCTTTCACCTTCTGGCCTTCTAGTTTTCCTTGGGACCATCTCTGTATTGATCAGGTAACCTGGGTCAGGTCATGGTCCAAACACCGTCCCACAGTTATCCTTATTGCTAAGTAGTCAGTACCATTCTGGGCAAGATTCTAGACAAATCAGCTAACACTGGGCCCAACTTAGGGATTGTTCCCAACAGCAAGCTTACATGTAGTCACCTCCTTTCATCCTTTGAGCAGCCACCACAGGAATAGGCAATAGACCAGGAGTTGAAATGCTATGAGGTTTACAGTGTGAGTAGCAGGGATTCTTGTCTATGCTGTCGCATCCATGGATGGACTTCCTAGAAACCACTGCAGTGTAGAAATTAATAGATATATAGCTCAGCCTCTAATTATGTCTGATATGTGTTTTTAGACACGACTCAGATGTGCACGGAAGATAAAGAAAACGATCTTACTCCTCCACTTGAGCACTGCATTAGGACAAAGTAAGTGAAAATGGCATTTAACATGCAAATATTTTTACAGAATTATGTAAATAATATACGTAAAGCTTGAGTGTGGCTAAAAAGTTAATATTGTGGCAGTTATTCTTGCAAAATTACTGGTTAAGAGTTAGAAAAGATCACTCCCCATTGTGCATCAAATTGTCCAAGGCATTTGTTTCAGTCTTAGAGGAACTGTCATTATGTCACCAGAAGCTGAGCCATAATTCGAGAGCTCAACTTGATTTCAAAAGATCAAAATGTGGATTCATTGGTTCCTACTGTAGAGGTATAATGAGAAAAGAAGAAATTCTCTTCCATCTCTATCAGTCTTTTCTGAAAAATATCAAAGCACAGAAGCACTTGGGTACCACCTTTGATACCTAAAGACCTCAGTGGTCTCAGTTCTCTCAAACTGTCCATGGAAGCACTGACTTCTCCAGGCAAACATGATATGAAATGATGGACTTTTAAATAATTTATCCAAATTGTGATGAAGTTAACGAGAACATTTTCAATTTACCGAGTTATGGAAGAAGCAAAATCAGGCTGAAAGTATCAGCTTTATATCACTCCTTCAACAGGACTTTGAAAGCTGCTATCTGAGTATCTCTGGAGCGAGAATTAAAAGCCTCATTGTCAAAGCCCGTAACAGCACTGCAGCTTCAGATTTCCCTTGTCATTTCCCTCCTTTCTCTGCCACATCAAAACAAATAAGGACAGTGGCTGCCAACCAGTGTGTTCCTGCAGGGCTGGCTTTATGGAGTTACAGGAAACAAATGAGGCATCCTTCAGCGTGACAGCACCGTTGGTTCAGGCTCCCTGCACATATAGGTTGTATGGATTCTACTGTTCAAGGGAAACATCAGCATGACTGCAAACAAAGACAGATAATCCTTAGTCTCAGAAACCCACAGAGTGGGGAGAACACTGCATGCAACTATTTAAAGTCACTCTTAAAATGTCTTCAATTCCTGGCGTTGCATCAAAGTTACACAAAGCTTTGGTAATGATGATGTTTGTTTATTCTAAATTCCTTACTTTAATCTATTGTGGAAGTAAATTACCACCAAATTCCAGTGTCAATTAATTGTGTTTGTACCATTCCTGGGATGATCTGATTTACCCTGATCTGTCTCTCTCCTTGTTTTCTGTATTCTCCAATTGCTTTGAACATATTTATTCAAGCATGGCCTTGCTGCTAAAGGTCCTTCATGCCATGTTATTCCTTTTTGCTCGAAGAAATTTTTCTCCAACTCTATAAACAGTATATGGAGAAAAGTAAAAACAAAACAAACCAACGAGTGTTTAACAACTTGAGAGATACAAAAACAAATATTTAGTATCATACAACTGTGGAAAACACCAATAAAATAATTGTTACTGAAGCAAGCCAAACAAACAAACAAACAAGCAAACAAACTAACAGGGCTGCTACTCCTTTTTCACCTAGCATTACAGCAATAAAGCTCATTATCAGATCTTTCTCATCAAAAAAAGTGGAGTAGTTTCTCAATGTGGACAATTTAATTGTGTAACGGAATAGAACTGAATCAACCATTGTTTCCAAATTTCCACTAGGGGTTTTTCTTTTCATTTGCACGACTTAGGGCTGTTTCAGTCCATAGGAACTCTTACCAGAGGGTTGCCCCATACCTGAACATCAGCACCCTGCAGGATGTTGAGTCCTATGGTGGCCATCTGTCTGCTGTTTGTTCTCAAACCATCTGCCAATGGAAAGATCTGCATCTGTAATAGATAGTCTCTGTTTTTAGCTTTTTCATTATTATTATTAACAGAGGAGTTGTTTTGCTTCTGCAGGAGGAGGCTTATGCTTTTATTCCCTATTTTTGCAAAATGTCAGAAAAGGAGGGCTTGAGTTTAAAGCAGTTAACCCTTTGCATGACTAGGACAAATAGTCCTCAGCTGGGATCGATTTAACCTGCAGACTCCCAGCTGAAGAGTTACTGTTGTGCAACTTTTGTTGGGCTTTTCAACCTAAGACATCCATAGAAGTAGTCAGGTTTGTATCGACAGTTGTCTGTAATGGGCAACCCTGGGGGAATTTCTGGGAGATGCCATGCAGATGCCTGATCCCATTTTCCCCTGAAGAATACTCTCATTTCACAGTCATCATCCTCAGCATCTCTCTGGGCTGGTGCTAATAGAATCATAGAATCACAGAATGGCTGGGTTGGAAGGGACCTCAAGGATCACGAAGCTCCAACCCCCCAGCAATGCAGGGCCACCAACCTCCCCATTGCACAGCAGCCCAGGCTGCCCAGGGCCCCATCCAACCTTGAACACCTTGAACACCTGCAGGTAACATCTGTTAGCTCTACCTAAGGGGAAGAAAACTTTGATCTGATATTATAATCTGAATCTAGTTTTAGATTTTGTTAGCCCACAACATTCAGCTTTCCTTTGTGGTTCTGGAACGGTGTGGCACAGTGTTCCTTCAAAGTGAGACATTTGGTAGAAATATGATAGATAAGAAGAAAGGGTGGGCACTTAATCCTAAATTATTGGTGCCAGATGATCAATGCAAGAGATATTCTCTGAAAGTTACTCCAGAGGGAGCATTGCTCAGGGCTTGAACCAGTTCTTCCAAGGTTCAGTGGAACTGCTCCATTTAACTTCCATGACCCTCAAATGAGGTCGTAGTCAAACCAGATGAGACCAGTGTTGTTTCCATACTGCTAATCTGATAAATTGTAATTCCATCTGAGTTCCATTTAGGTTACACTGTAGTGAATCAGTTGGAGAAATGAGGGCTCTGAATTTTTTGGATCGTGTTTTTTTCATTAAGAAATGACCAGTTCAGCACCTGTGAAAGAGGTTCTCACTATCTGACACCTTTTCTTGTGCAGATGCAATGGGTAAGAAAGTTTCAAAGCTGTCTCTGCATGAGCAAATTGGCAAATTGCTTTTCATTCTACAGATAGCTCAAGAAAAATAGCTGGAAAATAAATAGAGGAGATAAGACTTGTAGGGAAAGTTACACAGAGTCCTGCTTCGGAATACGCTGTGCTGGTTAAGCTCTTTATTGAAAGCCTGTTTCAAAAAAGGCCAGTTCTGCACCGCATAGTGATTAGCCATATTTTAAGCCAGAAACTTAAAAATGGTGTCAGAGCATTAATATTTTCACCGAGTAACCTCAGAGCAGATGAAATTTGCGTCATGTGGCTTCTGTAGATCCCTCTTGATGCTGGAATCACCTCAGAGAGGTAGAATTTATATGCAAAGATAAGGGAAGAGCTGATGGTGTTCCCAGAACTATCCAATGGGATCAGAAGGTGGCAACTGTTCTTCCCATTTGTGTTTGGGTTTTTTTCTGGGGAAAAATGAACCTCTGGCAGAGGCATCTCCCTGCCCTGACAAATGCTAGGCTAGGTCAGCTATTCCCAGCAAGGACACATTCTGCCATCAGCTCAATGTGTGAGGCATCACTCCTGTGTATTCCTGTTAAACCCTGGGAGGAGGACACCCATCCTGCAATATTTTTCTTTTAATTTTCTTGGCAAAATCAAAAAAAAAAAAAAAAAAAAAAAGGAAGGAAACAAATTCGCAGCCCCAATTTTCCACACTTGTTTACTTGTGCTTTCATTGGGGATGGTTGAAAAAAGTCCCGCAGGTGGTCACTTCCCTTGAGACCCTGCACTGAATACGGCAGGGATTCAGATTTTGGATTTGTTTTACATGTAACTGACTGCTCAGTGAAAGGACTGAGCTGTTATATTTGTGCTGACATATCCTTTCCTCCGTGACAGACTGAATGTGGCTTGCAGTCTGGCAAGTCAACACTGTCCCCACCAGATCTATGTCAGATCTATGTATTTGACAGGAGTTCCATTCTTGGAAGATCTGGACCATGAATTTGAAAGGATGCCAGGCACCTAATGAATGACTCTGGTGGTAGGAAGAGTTGACCCATTTCAACCTGGTGAAGCCACTGGGGAGCCAACTGGCAACAAGTGCAGGTTTGATGTTCCTGGAGTGGGCAGCTGAGCAATAGTGGCCAGTACACAGCCAGAAATTCAGAAGGTGGAAAATTTTGTGCATATACACGTTTTTTTTTTCAGTATGTATCTTTAATGTTATTCTGGAGAAAGGGTAAGACAGAGAAAAAATAAAGCCTCCCCATAGAAAAAGCAAAAGATTACCTTTAGGGTGAGCCAGTGAATATTTCAAAGGAGCCAAGGGCAAGAGCGAGGATAGCTGCTAATGAAGTTATTTGGTCTCATTTGGGCTACATACGGGTAATTCTCTTACCCATCTTGGAAATTGCCCATGGTCTTTGCAGAGCCAATGCTCTTGTTCTGAATCAGCTGCTGCTGAGAACTCTATTGCCTGGAGGAGGCTGTGTGAAGCATAAGGAAAACGATCTCCAAATGTGGGACCCTAAAATTAGGAGCGCAAATACTTCATTTTGCTTCCTTTTCGTTGGAGAAGGTGTGGTAAGTTACCCTAACTGAGTCCATCCTGCACTCTGTAGCAGTGGTTGGGTGGTTGAGAATGGTGAGCTGACCTTTCCAACAACCCGATAAACTCACGGATGTAAAATGGTTGCTTTTATTTCTAGGTGGCAAGGAGCTGTTATTGACTGGAATGGCACAGAACCAATCTTGTGACTGACCCGACCTGCACTTTATTTGCAAGAAAAAAAAAAAGGAAATGACAGAATTAGCACATTCCTATTCCCACCAATACAGGAAATAGGGCAGGAGTTCTGTGCCACTCATGGTGAGGAAGAATGACATGGCTGTGTGCAGGCTGGAAGAACGTCACCTTGTTCGCCTCATGCTTTGGATATCTTGCTTACAATGCAAGCAACACTTAGATAAATTCTTTGTTGATGCCTTTAATGTACAGTTTCAATGTGTAGACTGAGAGTCTCCAATGTCCAGTGACGGTTACGGGTAAAGCAGTGGAGTTGCCTATGTCCCCTCGAGGTCCCTTTCTGGATCATCTCTGTATCCTGCAATTGTTCCCAAAAATCTGATGAAAGGAGCCGAGCTGCTATTTCTGTCCCTGTTTTGCCTTCCTGTACTGCCTCGTTCTTCACCTGCAACACTCCAGTGCCAGGATGAAACATCATCCAAGAAATAAATATTCACTTCATTGCCATATATTACTAAATTCAAATCTAAGGCTGAACCTACTGGTAACCATATGGGCTACAGTTTACTTACTAGGCTTTATTTACACCAAAGTGGCCAATAAGTTCTGTGATTTGCTGCTTCATCATTGCAAGAAAACAGAAGTGATGTTAGATGGGAAATGTGAAGGGCACTTGTCTGTGATATTTACTGTTCTACATGATTAAATAAAGTGCGTGTGGGAAAATGGTGTACAGTGGAGATGTAATACCACGAGGTACCAGAACAGCAGTTTGTATTCTGAAATGAACTTTTTAAGTGACATATTTTGGCAAAAATTTACCAAAATTGGAACGAGTTACTGTACTGAAGATTGGAAGAAGTGGCTTTGGAAAATATTAATTGCTAATGGACAAGTTGCAGAGAAACAGTGTTTCTAGAATTATTTTTATCTTTTGGGAGTGCAAACATCATGGGAGTTTCATAACAGACTTTTAATTTTATCACAGCACTCTCTTACTAGTCAGTATGCAAACCTCTCTGAGCCCAAATGAACCACTTGCTGTTTTCAAAATCAATTTCCATCAGAAATTCAGTGTTCTACTCCGTGGAGCTGGCAGATACCAAGCTGCCTCTGCAGATACAAATCTCAGGGCACGTGAGCTAGATTTGGAAACCAACCTGTGCACGCTACCAGAAAACATGAGATAGTCTGTGAGTAAGCATCAGGCCCTGCTTTGCTTCCTGCACTCATCAAACTGTCTACACGTGGTAAAATATCTCAGCGCTGCGGTCGTTTTCATTTTATGTGATGCTGTATAATGAAATTTGTTTGTTTTAGGTCAGATAGGCAAACTTCTTTCTGTGAACTTGGTGAGATGAATATCTCCCTTTCAGCCTTGGCATCATGGAGAGCATCAGATCTGAGCCCATTCCCAATTCCCTGTGGGCACACTACGTGACCTTTGCCAGCTCCCTATGTTTCACTGTACGTAGGGGGATGTTTGCACAGCCAGCTGCAGGTGGACTCAAGGCTGCCTTTATGATGCACACCTCAACTGACCTTTAAGATCTCCATTTTCTGGATCCCAAACATTCAAAGATCCCAGTTTGGCACGGCTTGGACCTTGGAGTCAGCCAGGCTACCAGCTTGAATTAAACACCTTTTTGTCTTGAATTTTCTTATCAACTACAGTCCCCCTGTGCTCAATGGAGCAAACAATCCAAGAGGGCAGCAAGATCATAAAATAAGATTTCTCAGAATGCATTTGGACAGAAAATAGTGAAGAGATGAAAAACAATGGAAGATTTTTGGAACTAGGTGTACCAAAAATCCTCCTTTCTGGAAGCGTTCCTCTGGGAAGGAAGGGAGCTGCTGTGTTACTGCCCTGATTTCGTCTGACTGGAATATGGACATCTCCAACGCAGATATGTGATGATGAGGAGCTCTTGCTCTGGGCTCCCTTCAGAGTAGGGTGTGATTTATCTTTTCTTATGGACAAGAAGAAATGTGCTCCTGACTGGAGTATTATAAACTGAGTATAGATGGAGCCCAAGGGGATTGCCTCAGATGAACTCCATCCCTCAAGATGTAATAATTTTTCAGGTTTTAAGAAAGAGTTGAAGATTAATGAATAAGGCTTGGAAACTGATAATGTTTTATGGTTTATCTTGAAAGATTAATGAGGGTGGGAGGGAGCCCTGTACTCTGATCCTCTTTTTAAAACAGCCTGCAAAGCCTTTAAGGCTGCATTCTTACTGATTACAAAGAATAGATTAATTGAACCTTAAATTTTATTATAACAGAATCCCATTGAGCCAGGTCTTCCTTGCTCATTATCTGTAATTACTTCTACACACATTTTTCTGTAAAGTCCATTGTCTGCCATCTGTTTAAAATTGAACTAACTCAAGATTCACCTGTGCCAAGAAGTACAACACTTGGACCACATTACTGAAGCATTGCCTCTGCAGGGCAATCCCACCAAGCTGGAGCACTGCATCGCTAAGCTGCTGCCACCAGCTTTGCTCTTGAGGTTTCCTGTGGCTTCCTTCAATAAAAAGGCAATGAAAATACTCATTTAGATCTACCTCTTCAGCAGAAAAGCAACCAACCAAACCTCCGTCTATTTCTGCATCGAGAAACGGCTCACATATTTTAATTTGATGACAAAAGACACGAAGCAATTTGCCTTCAGGCATCACGTATCTTTTGGAATCGAATGATCAGACAAACCAATACAAAACGTTATGCAGCGATGCAGAAACCTTTGCACAGACCTGTGCAGAAGCATATCCTGTTGTAGGAGCCTACATCTAGCTTGTTGATTGTGTTTTCCTTCTCATTGTTTCCCGATTTCATTTTCACTGCCCGATGAACGTGACTTCCTGAGGTGAACAAAGCAACTGTTTGCGAATAGCGCAGTACAAGACACTGGCACTGGGCCTCTGTGTATATCTTAAAATCATCCTCTTCCCTTCTGTGCTATGAAAGACACACCCTCTCACCCTCTGCTGAGACATGACGCCTTAGCTTACAACAGACATCACCTATTGTAAATCTGAGCAGAAGTGCTATTTTGGTAAAGTGTCAGGAATATTGCCCTTGTGCAAAATGTACAGTTAACTTTGTTTTGTACAGAATGTCGCCTACAAATAAAGCCTTTAAAGAAAAGAAAGTAGCATCATCTCATATTTTCTCTTCACTTTTTTTTTTTTTTTAATAATTAATTTGCCAAGGGAAATTAATCTGAGAGAATAGATTATAACAGCTTCATGGGCCTCCTCCTGTCAGTGGAATAATAACAAGAAGTTGAGCTTCCCTCTCCTCTGAGCAGAACCACAGTGCAGTTGGGGATGCAGGGCAGGGGGTGTCATCCTGAGCCTGGCAGTTTCACATCTGAGCAGCTATGTGTGTTGAAACCAACCAGTCTGGGGCTGGTTGGAAATGTGAGTTACAACTGTCTGCCTGCATCAGTGCATGTCCACTATGTCCTATTTGAACCTACCCAGTGCTGTGAGTGTAAACTGCAAGGCTCTCATCACCCCTCTTAGCTTAGTGTGAAATCATAGGATCATAGAATCACTGCAAAAGACCTCTAAGGTCCTCTAAGGTCACCCAATCCCACCCTACCCCTGCCATGCCCACTGACCATGTCCCACATCTCCATAAACATCTCCAGGGATGGTGACCCCACTGCCTCCCTGGGCAGCCTGTTCCACTGCCTCACCACTCTTGGGGAGAAGAAATTGTTCCTAATATCCAACCTGAGCTTCCCCTGGAGGAACTTGAGGCTATCACCTCTCATCCTGTAAATGAATTGCATCATCCTGATCAAAACCTGGGGAATCATTGGCAATCAAGTGTTTTTAAGGAATTTTGTGCAAGGTGGACCTGTACACATGAAGTTTCTTGTCCATCTGAAGGCCACCATGCGTAGACCTCACACTGGAGTTGATGAAGCTGCTGGAGTTGTTTTTGTACGTATGTGTCCCTATTGTATTGTCAAATCTAGGAGCAGTCTGAGATCTGATGACAGACCCGTGAGCAAATCTGTACAGCCACTGTGTGGTTTGTTCCCAGGGAGTTCAAAGATGAAAGCTTGCGCCTGTTTCCAGTTCTTGACTTTTTGGAGGCAGATTGCTGTTTTGTTTCTGTGGTTTATGCGTTGAATGGGGTAATTTGGAACGACAGGAAAAGGTCACTTTAAAAATCAGAGGAAAGTCGAAGAGCTTGGGAAAATGACACGTGTGTAAGCCAAGTTTTAACAGAAGTGATAAGTGGATTGGGGCTCCAAAGATTCCATCGCTGTACCTGAGGTACTTCAAAGAAGCTCAGTTTTCTGTTGGTATCTGGGAGCTCCCTTGAAATACAAAGGTCCCAGATCACAGTTTTTAGAACTTTTCCTTAGAATGCCACTGCCAATTTTGTAAAGGAGTGTAATATTCCTTCAGAGTGCCTCCATGATTTGAGATACGACCACACAAAATGCAGACACGTGTTTTGCTGGTGTATCTGTCAGTCCTGCCTCAGGGTGCGTTCACTATTGAGGACCCTGCCTTGAATTGTGTCACATTCACCAAATTCAGTATTGCAGGAGGTGCTGAAAATCAAATTAGAACCAAAGCCCGTGCTTTAATCAATCATTCATCCATTCAGAACATAGCTGCAGAAACCTAAATCTTTAAAATCAAACACCATCAGACAGATCGATGCTGTATCAGGTTGGATGTTAGGAACAATTTCTTCTCCAAAAGAGCAGAATGGGCTGCACAGGGAGGTGGTGGTCACCATCCTAAGACGTGTTCCAGAAACATTTAGATGTACTGAGGGACGTGGTTTAGTGGGGAAATGTTGGTGGTAGGTGGATGGTTGGACTGGATGATCTTGGAGGTCTTTTCCAACTTTGGTGATTCAATGGTTTGATGTTTTTCTCTTAACAAATAAGCTCATAAAAGAAATAGAGTTTTACTTGCAGAAAGAAGATGATTGCTCCTGATTGCTGCTTTTCATCTGCACAACCAGTTTGCTGCATAACCTAAGGAAACTGCATCCCATTAAGAACACTCTGGATATACTAGTACTCTTCTTTTATTTGTTTTCATTGGCTAAAAGATAATAAGCTCGACAGCAGTTCTGAAATAAGGAATCAGTTTCTCCTTAGCTGTTTGTTTATAAAATTAGAGAAGGAAAAAGGGCATTTTCAATCAGATACTTTGTTATTTCAACCAGGGTGGGAAGGGGTTGTTGTTAGGTTGGAGAGCCACATAGTTCTGTGATGTCTCTCATTAACAATAGTTTTCGTCTAAATTGACACAGAAGCAAGCTTAGATTTTAGAAAGAAAAACCCTTTCAAAAAAGCAAAGGGATTTTACAATAAGATTTATCAGCAATTCCAAACCTTTCTCATTATTGTTGTTTTCCTCTTCTTGGAGGAATTATGTTAAACTGAAGCAGTTGACTCTTCATAGCAGTTGTGCTTAAAGGCACAACTCGGTTCACACAAACTGAGATGTCTTATAGCATCCAGCAGAACAAAAGTGAAGGACCCCAGCAGATACAGACAAAGGGGACACTTAAATAAATTACCATAAGAAGCAATAGTCCTTATGGCTGTGTCTTCTCCTCAACAGACACATTGGAGATGTTCAAGACCTGCCTGGATGCCGACCTGTGCGAGCTGCTGTAGGGAACCTGCTTTGGCAGGGGGGTTGGACTCGATGATGTCTGGAGGTCCCTTCCAACCCCTACAATTCTGTGATTCTGTGACTCTGTGACACGTTGCTACTCCAAACGGACAGAAGATTTTGGAATATGCATGAGCTTGAACACTTTTCTCTTACCAAGGAGCCACGTACCAAATTGTTTTCGAAAAAAACAAAAGTGTTGGATGTTAGGAACAATTTATTCTCCAAAGACTGTTAAAGCACTGGCAGAGGCTGCCCAGGGAGTGTTGGGGTCACTGCCCCTAAAGGTATTCCGAAACAGTGGAGATGTGGTACTTGGGGACATGATAAGTGGGCATGGTGGGTTGGGGTGGGGTTGGATTGGATGATCTTAAAGGTCTTTTCCAACCTGAGTGATTCTGTGATTGTATGAATTATTCTTGGCAATATTATCCTGCTGCAAGTGTAGTCCGACCTGTGAATATTAGGCATGATGCATCTGGTGTGCTCAGGTGATCATAGGGTGGATATAAAGTGGGGCCTTAGGATGACATTAAAGACACTGGTGGGGCACAGGCATTACATGAGCATGAGTCGTCTGACCTGTTTGAGGGGTCTATGTGGGATGAAGTTAATTGCATTTTTCACTTCCCTGCCTGCTTCTGGTGGGCTCTCAGTGGATTAAACTGAGTGTATGGAGAGTGCTATGAATAGTCCAGGTGAATCCCAGTGTGGCAATGACAAAGAAAAGAAGTAGAATGTGTTTACAGACCCCATATAATTGGTAAAATGAGGGAATAAAATTGATTGTTTAGAGATGCCTCCTGGCTGCTGTGTGCTAGGGAAGCATCCATTCAGGAAAGAAATCTCAGGGCTTAGCAGCCAAAATTTGCCAGTGCTTGGAGAAGGAGCTGCTGATGAAGGTTACTCACATGAAAACATGGGAGGTGTATCAAAGTTGAGACCTGGAAGGTGTCCTGGACATGAGGTTTTGTGTGCAGAGATTTTCTTGTATAAGAGAACTAGGATGGTGTCACAATCCTGATAAAACACCCAAAGTATCTGTGCCTCGTGTGTGTGTTCTGCTTGTTTTCTTATCACTTTCTTATCATTTGGCAAGGACTTCCAAATTACTCTAAGAGGTATTCTGGGCATTTGTAAGAATACTCCACGCTCTGGAATTCAGCAAATATTTATTCATGGAGAAAACACCGGCAAAGAATGTGTAACAAAAAAGAAAAAGCAAAACACCAAATGCCTATTTAGCTCCTCTCTGGAAAACTCACAGAGAATATGAGTTTGAAAACTACGTTCTGCAAAGATACCTTTCACTGAGATGTACTTGGTTTGGTAAGTGCTGTGGATGTGAGCCAAGGTCTCCAGACCTTGAACTGAGGATCCTCATTTGTCATTTTGAGATAGTGTGACAAATGAGCAATGCTTTGTGCTGGTGCTGCATGGCGTGTGAAGAAAGGAGGTCTTTTACGAGCACTTCAATGCAGAGCAGTGTTATTACAACTGACATCCTTCTCAGGGCTCAATTCCTATCACGCACAATATCCTTCCTGAGCCACTCTTGGTCGGGTCACTTCTGTAAGAAACAATCCACTCTCATTAAAGTAATGGTTCAGCTTTGCAAATGGGACAAATACAAATTCAAGCGTGTGCTATGATCTGATCTGCTTTTACTGATGTCCTTTTTCAGGACCTTTCAATGTCAGTAACAGGTGAGTATATAAACACAGAGAGAACATGAAAATCAAGCTGCTTTTATTATGGTAAGAGGTGTAGCCATGGGTACCCATATGTTTACTCATCTGAGAGAAGTCCTATGGCTGCATACCAGGCACTTTGAGAAATATACGTGTGCATGAATAGCAGAACATACAGAAAAATAAATTGGAATGATTATTTTTCATGTTGGATGCCATTTATTGGGTTACATAGGGCAGTTTTAAGGCACAAACTTTACTTTTATCAAAACCAAGTGAAAACTACAAGAGTGAGACTAAACAGCTATCACACCATGGTAGGAGCTGCTAGTCTCCTCTAATTGAACCAACCCTGATGAAAATTCTCCTGGTGCTCCATAGATACCCATTGCCCATCGCCTTTCTCCTTTGAATTCCCTCACCTGCTAAGAGCCATGGAAGGTGCTCTGCAACTTACGATATAAACACGGCAAACACTTTTGCTCCGTTTACTTGTTTTGTCCAATTTACATGACGTATGTCTGATGTGTAGCAGTGAATTAGAAAACCTCTTTTATTTTGTGGACTCCGATGGAAAAATGCCAGTATGGCTTGAGAAGACAGGGTGATTGATGAGGTTACCAGGACAAACAGGACAGCTGACTTTTCATAGAATCACAGAATCACAGAATGGCCTGGGTTGCAAAGGAGCACGATGCTCATCCAGCTCCAACCCCTGCTGTGTGCAGGTCGCCAACCAGCAGCCCAGGCTGCCCAGAGCCACATCCAGCCTGGCCT